CGCCGGCCCGTCGAAGTCCATCATGACTGCCTTGATGCGGGGATCGTGCGCGGCCGTCTTGAGGGTCTTCACTAAGCCGAATAAGGTCAAATCCGGCTCTTTGAACAGCTGGGGCTGCGAGGTGAGCCCCAGCTGTGGGCACCAAAACGCGACGGGTACGTATGGTCACGAAGTTTCAAAGGAATGAACAACGCGCGGCGGGGAGGGGATCTATTGGTTGGGGTGGCACGACGCTGAGAAAAATGAACACAAGATCTGCATCCCCGAACTGTACCAAAACACCCCCAAATGTCCCGCTCCTGATTGGAGGTCACAAGTTCAACCCTGTAGGGCGGCAGAGCCTCAAGGCCAGTACCAGTAGGCTCCACAAGAGGCGGGGACCTCTCGGGCGCTAAAAAGCGCGTGCGAGGAACTTGAAGGGGTTCCGGACGCTGCTCAACGCTCGGACAGAAGTACTTCCGGACGCCGCAATAATAGCGTCTCTCCTACAAGAAATCACGCTTGTGCGATCAGACCCGGGTGGTCATTCGATTTCTGGGCAGCGGGCGCACAAGAGCTAGGCATTGGAGAAAACACGCAAGACGGGAGGTTGCGAAACGATAACGGAAACACCATGGTACAATGGTGTTGGACCGTGGTTCCGTCCCAAAGGCGGCATCTAGGGTTGGCCCGTTTGAAAACGAGATAGAGTTACACAAAGCAACAAAACATTACGAGGAGGCACAATGTCGACCCCGCATCCTCCCACCTCGCCCTTGAGCTGGATCTGGACGATCTTCGTACGCGACGAAAGCCGACCGAACGGCTTGAGCTTAAACCTCAACGCTTGGCTCCAGGACGGTTTCTGATCGGATCACAGCAAGGCCCCGGCCAACGGGTTACAGGGGCAGCGGCACGTGGGAATTGGCCTTGCAGTTAGTCTCCGTGTACGTTGGCCAGGATGAGGGCATGGCAAGGAACACGCCGATGTGAACCAATACGAGGCTTAAACACTGGCAGGATGGAAAGGGGGGCAGGGAGACGACTGAGGGATTCGCACGGCTAGGACCCAGACGGATTGGACACGACAAAACCCCGACAGTGTTGCTGGGTACCATTGGTGCATAGATAAGTGGGAGGGCGGTCCTGCACACTGAGAATTTCAATATACAGCAGGCGGCGTGGAAAAGGGAGGCGGTTTCACGACCGGAGCAGCACGTCTTTTCGGCATGGCGTACCGAGGCGAAAAGAGGCTACGTTGAAACCGGTCGGAAAGGGTGAGTCTCACGAAAAAACGTTGCATCGTAGGAAGGATAAACCACAGGTGTTGTGTGGAATGAAGAGCTAACTTCTCCAGCATATTATAACCCCGTACCTGAATGAAAAACAGGCGTGGTTCGTAGTGCACTTCATACCATGCAACTCGACGAGATGTACGACCGAGTGACTGGAGAGCCACGGGAACAACGACGGCGAGGGGGCTTACGTGTGGTTTGAAGGTTTCGACAGAAACGTCCAGAAAGTGTTCCCTTCCTTCAACAGTGGGTCTCAGCAGGGTGCTCGCTGGTGCGTGCCGAAAAGAGGGGAGGGGGAGCGGGCGAACGCGGGTACAGCGATACGTTCACCCAAGCAAACAAGGCGCAAGAGCGACGTGAGTGGTGAGGAATAAGCTACGCCAAGGTTGCTTCGAAAAAAACATCCCGTTCGCCAATTCGATCCCCGGTTTACACGGTCCTACTTACCCTACGTCGTGCCGTTCCAAGCGAATACATTCTCTCCGGGGATGCACCAAATGCCCCGTGGCGTCGCATGTATCAAGTCGTAGAAAAAGGAACTTTGACAGAAACCCCGAGGAATGTTGTAAACCCCGAAAACTCGAAGACGACAACAAGAAGGATGTCCTGTAGTAATGGTTTGACACTGTTCCTGTCCATAGAGCCAACCACCGAGCCCAAAAAACACTGGCGAGCCTCCCGTTCTTTCCACCCCACGTGCCCGAGACTTGTGAGACATCCAACCGGCCTTCTCATGCTTCCGAGCAGCAGTACGATCGAGCTATCGGAATTATCCCTGCCCCCTCGGTGCCTTTAGTTTCAAACCGGAAGGTACTGCCATCCCTTTCATAAATAGTGGTTCCACAGCACTTGTTCACGGTACGTTCCGCCAAGGCAAACCCCTTTATCCCGTGTACGCAATATATAGTATATAGTAGTTGTCGTGAGCTACAAGCGCGATGTCCGACCTTCCCTTCGCCCACCCCGTCCGCCCGTCCCCCCACTTGAGGTGTGCCTCATCGTTACCTCGTGGAAACCCCGGGGGGTTCGGCCGCTTGGGCTTGTTCTTCCGTTTGCTCTTGCGACCGCTCTCCCCGGCTTCCAGCAGGCCGTTCCAAAACACCTCCCTGTGTTTTAACGTTGGAGACATGCGTTGGGATTCCGGCGCAACTCAAATACAGCAAGCAAGAGGTTACGGCAGCGAGCAGGCAGGAGGACTATGGGCGCGACAAGAGAGCTGGGAGGCTTTATTTGCAAGCAACCAGCGCCTCTTCCCCTCTCGGGGTACTCGAAGTAAGTTGTCTACCCGCCGCGAGCCGCTATATGGATGGACGGATAACCGTTCAAGCAAGAAAAAACAGCGTCCAAGGCTGCGAGACTCTCCCCGCCGTTTTCTGGCGCACCTGCGCACGAGAGAATCCCGGGGCGATCTCGAGCTCGTCGAAGACCCGCACACGCCATGCGGTGCACCCCGGTGTTGCTGCAGCCCTTCCCTGGTAAGACCGCTGATGCCACCTGGCCCGGCGCTGTGGTCGGCTTTGCTTCTCGCGACCCCCATGACCATCGGCATCGTGGAGGATATCCCATGATGTGACGACAATCGGCTAGGACTCGGTCGCAGCTGAAGCAGCAGTTGGAAAGTGTTCCCAAGAGGAGGGCGAAATCGAGCGGGGCAAAGGATGCACCAAGTTAGGGGCAAGGCTCCTCCCCGACCAAACAGTGCGGGGCGAGCCTCGTCGATTGCCGCGCGCTGTGTACGTCGTTCTGGGCGAAATGAATCGAGTGTGCTTTCCATTGTCGTGCTATCGTCAAGGGAACAACAAATAATAGTGCAAGGTACTTAGGTGGCATAAGCCACCACGCTGAGTGACGCGAGTCCCAAGATGTAAGCTAAATGGCGCCCCGGTTATCTCTCCGTTGTGAAGAAACCTCTAGGGGCTCGTCGCCCTTTCGAGGGTATCTGAGCTCCCGACAGAAGCGGTACTTTGAGAATTTCCCAACATGTTTCTCATGCCGCTTTTCCCCGCTTCTCTCTCGCCCGCTCAGCGGAAACTAGGCCAAACGGTCAGCGAACGTCGAAAGCTAGCTCAAACGTTCCGGCCGAATATTTTGGGTCAACCCTTTCGTATCAACCGTGGCTCCGCACTGGTTTGGGCACCAACCTACGGAACCATGCACACGACTAAGGCACTGGTCTAGATACCCTCCGTGGACTGATCGGAGCCCAGAACTCAACGGAGGAGACCATTAGAGCATTCGTGCACTAGGCGAAAACTGGGCCGACAATGTATGGTGCACCCGCGCTGGGATGCGGAACTCACTTAGATGTTACACTAATTTTCCGTCGTGTCTTTTTTTCAAGAGCCCAGCGGGCTCGTCCGCTAGTGCCCCATCCCTCGAGCCTGGAAACTGCAGGACATCGTACAAAGTCTTGCGTTTAATTAACGTATTTAATTATACCATCACAACCCAAGAATTACACCCGTCGGTGATGGATACGGTATAAAGTACAAGCTCACAAGGATCGCGCACGCAGAGGGTTCGTCAGTCTGCCTTGGTTGTATACTTGCACATGTGTGACCAAAAAAAAAACAAAACGGAAACATGACAGCACCGACCCGTTCTTGGGTCTCGCGGATGATGCGTTGTGTTCTTCACCTGTTGCCGTACAGGGCTGATGGTGGCCATCCCATAGCACGAAGCAGCCGCTATCACCACCAGCGCGGACGGTATACTAAGCTTGCTGCCAAACATCAGCCGCGTTGGCCTTGACATCGTCATCATCGGCTCCGAAACACGCAGGTGCTGGTAGAGCTACACACGCAGAGGCTCCCTGACGTGTGCGCCGGACTGAGGCAGCGTCGTCGGCTGTACCGTTGCGGGTCTTGCTGTCCTGCGACGAATTCCTTTTCTTCTGTTGGGTCTTGCTGCTAGCTGAGAGTGAGAGCCTCAGAGTGAGGAGCAACCACAGCAGTACACGCGCAACTTCTCCAGCTGGATGCGGCCTGATCTGCTGATGCGGCCGAATGTGGCTGAGAGGGGGCTCCGCCGAAAGTGGAGTTCATTTTGGGCGACCCCTACTGTTTCATGCTCCTTATCAGTACTGCATGGGGTTCAGTGTCCATGCATATGCATGGATCTGCCCTAGATCTGTCATGATGTGATGCTGCGCAGGATACTCGTTAGCAGATAGGGTTGGTTGGTGCGAAAGCGATGATGACCGATTTTTGTAATTTATTCATCGACGGCCGAATGTTTTTCTGACACAGAGGGAGGAAAAGCAGCGAAAGACCTTCAGCAGCTTTCAACTGGAACATACGTGTCTATCTCGAATGGGTAGACTATTAGTCTTTCTGTGCATGAATTTATTTTTCCTTAAAACTGCAGTACGCATCGGGAGAGCAAACAAGATTGGGTTTTCGAGTGCCGGTACTCGCCGCCCCATTGAGGGCATCACCGCTGAACAGTTGCTTTTTCGTTGTGTTCACTTCACATCAGCGCTCGTAGAACCTATTTTCCTGATGAAAATGTGTAACTTGTGTCGTTTGCTCTAACCCGTGTGGTCACACAGAAGAAGGGTTCCCCTCCCTGAGACCCCCTACCCACCCCTCCTGCGGTGCTTTGCCTTCCATTCTTAACGCTGACGAAAAGTGCAGACTCTCTTCCCTCTGTGAAGAGACGAACTGTAGCGCGTTCCACTCAGGCCAGGCACGGAAGCGAGAGAAAAACTCACTTTGCAAGAATGTAGGTCGCTTCGCTGGGCTTCGAACCGGGTTGGAAGAACGTAAAGCATTGAAAAATTGAAGAGTTATATGCATACGAGCAAGCATAAGTCGCTACATGTTGTTTTAATTCACAGTAGCACTTGGTACGGACAGAAGAAAAAAAAACATTGACGACTTGGACCCTAAACCTCACACAAAATAAATGCCTACCTCCATAACGCCCAACCACGTGCACATACATATGCATTTATCTCTGCGCGGCAAGATAGACAACCAACGGTGGGCCGTCTCCCGAGGACTTCGTCGCCCGGGCCAACAAACGACTAGGGCAACAAAAACGTTAAACCGGCTCCCAAAACTTGCACCACCGCCGATGATGGGCAACGGGACACGTTCAGCCCACAACCTAGCCCGTGCTCCGTCAACAAGGTGTGTAGGCAAAACAGGGTCCTACCCTGATGAACAAGCTAAGCTGTGCACTAGACTAAGCCGGGGAAAACCTCGTTAAAACTCTAGAGCCCCGCGAAGCACCAGGGAGTAGGTAAAACAAGGTCCTACCCCCATGCAACAAGTTGCGTGCAGTAGGCTTAACCAAGGGAAAGCACTGTTATCCTCTCGAAGCACCAGGGGCATCCCCGCGAGCAGCTCTGGCGGCCTCGATCACCCGCTCGCACGTGGTCCACAAGGCCGAGGTCGCCGCCGGCTCGTCCTTCACAAGCTTCGGCCGTCCAGGGGCGCAGCCGACGAAGGGGCCGAACACCTCGAACGGAAAGGGGCGTTTGAAAGGCATCCAGTAGGGCTGGTAATAGCCGCTCCCTGCGCCGTTTGACATGAAACAAAGAGCCGAGGATGGAGACGGGAGAATTGCTATGTATGTTCGCGAAAATACGTTGAATGTCAACAGCAAAGTGCTGTACATGGGAGGCGGGCGTCGGAAAGCGTACTCAAGAGTTTGTGCGTGTTAGGGTACGTTCAAGGAGGAGGAGAAGTACGTGACCGCCCAGCTCGTGCGTCGCCGGCAACAAAAGTATGATCACAGCAATGGTCCTCCGGCCCGGCTTTGTAGGGATGCGAGGTCAATGGTCTAACGACTACGGCATGAACGGCCATGAGTACACCCCCTCCCAAAGAAATATCTCGACTGCCACCAGATGAAAAACATATCTCAAGCCTCTCTCACCCGGGACCGCCTTTGCGAGAGAATAAGCTTTATGAGGAAACCGAACGGGAAGGGGGTACGCAGACCCTATCCCTAACCCTAACCCTAACCGAACTTCCCCGATTGCATGCTTCGTCCAACAAGATTACTCAAAAGTAGAACAACCCTGCGAAGGGTGCTGCTCACCGGAGAGGGTCTCGAGCGGTAACGCCGCCGCGCGGACGGACGTGTAGGAGCCCTGCTCCGAGGTGAGGAACAAGAACCTCATGAAGAGGTCGAACACCGGCATCACCAGCTTGGGCACGTTCCGCCAGATGTCGCTCCGGACGGCCCCGGGGTTAACTGCGACCGCGGTGGCGCTCGAGCCGGCGACGGCGAATCTCTTCTTGAGCTCCTGGAATACAATTAGCGCCCGCGATTAAGAATCGTCAATATTGGGACGAGGCTCAAGTTGTTACTTTGTCACCACCGTCTATTTGGCACAGGTATCCATATCATTTATAGGGTTTAGTGTAGGATCCACGGCTGAGCTATGTTTCACAGCCGATTTTTCTAAACTACTGTATCGCCAAAATCTTGAGCCTTTGGTTATATTGAAGGTTTGGCTCTCGATGGCGGGCGAAAACTGTAGTCGTGATTTTCGACGGCGGAAGGCGGTGAGTCCTCGCAAGAGAGCCGAAAACCAGCGATGAGAAAAACAAACAACAACGCCAACAAAAGTGAAAGAGGGAATCGCCCTCGACAGACAGACGTTGGGAGTTGTACCTTCATGAACGAGATCTCCGAAAAGAAACAACACGCTGGCGGTGAAAATAGGGAATATTCGTCCTCGACACACAGACGTTGGGAGTTGTACCTTCATGAACGAGATCTCCGAAAAGAAACAACACGCTGGCGGTGAAAATAGGGAATATTCGTCCTCGACACACAGACGTTGGGAGTTGTACCTTCATGAACGAGATCTCCGAAAAGAAACAACACGCTGGCGGTGAAAATAGGGAATATTCGTCCTCGACACACAGACGTTGGGAGATTGTACCCTTAGGCACGGGATCTCCAGACACAAAAACGTCTCAATACCTGTCTGGAGACAAGGACTGCGTCCCACAATATTTGGCCCAAGACGTGCCCTGTGGATATCTATCTATCTTCAGGTCTACTTTTAGACGCGCCATCTGGTCGATTCTTGCTCTGTATTTCGGTGGTGGGTCCACAAGCAGGCCATGAATCATCGAGCGATACTGTCGAATTTGCGTACCTTGGCGAAGATAACCATTGCCAGCTTGCTGTCGGCGTATGTCGCACCTCTGCGCTTCGGGTGCCCCATCACGGCAGATTCCCATTTCGTGCCCCCACTGTGGTGCATCACAGAGCTGAGACACACCACACTGTGCGAAAGAAGAAACGGAGATGGGTGGACACACACACAAAAGAGGTGGGGATCAGCCAGCCCGGGATCTCTTGTCAAGTCTGTGCGTGATGGTCGACAGATTTGCGCCAATAGCCCGAGCTGATGCGCATCACAGCGCGTGTATACCGCACTCGCAAAAGTGGTGAGTAAATGCGCGTGACGAGACGAGAGTTAACCACTTGACAAGCCTCCGCCCAGGTCAAGGGCCAGGCATGTTGGGTTGGGCCGCTTGGATGCACATCACTTGAAAATAGAGTACACGTGAGAAGGAAAACTCAGTCCAGAGCGGGTGCGTGAAAACATATCAGCGGCTACAAGTTGTCGTAGCGAAGCGCCCAAGAGGCGAAAGATGATAGCGTGAAGAACACCGATCAGTGCACGGAAGGACTCTTGAAGAGATGACAGCATCCCGCAGAGTGCTTACGGAACTGTGCGCGGAATATAATTCACAGGTCGCTTTGGAGATACCAACTTTTCGGAAAATATACATACAACCAAAAGGACTACCCGTTGAAGATAATACCACCGTCGAAGGGAATGCGTTGTAGTCTTTGCAAGTGAGTGGGAATTAAACCGGCTGGGTGATGGGCGTATTTTGAGTCTATTGCTAAGCCTCTGACACCGAATGAAGATTCTCCGGGCAGGTCATATGGATGGCGATCTCTCCCCCCCTAATCCACAGCCAAACGCTTTATGAACAACCAACTGATGTGCTCGTGTGCCCCGCCCTGCTGCCCCCACGTACAACACTACACACCCAAACTACACTCCGCGTTTCCGCACCGTGCACCCGGGGTGGATTGGATGAGCGGCAAGAGCTCGTTCGTTAGGCAAAAGTGCCCCACAAAGTTCACCCCGAAGACGAGGTCCAGGCCATCGGCGGTGACCCGGGGACCGTCGGTGATTCCAACCCCAGCTGTTTTCACAAAGTGAGGGGGGGTGGGGGGTGAAGAGGGAGGAAGTGGGCGGCACGAAGGGGTGGGTGTAACTTCGCAGTGTAATTGAGACCTGCAACCTTCATCTGTAGGTCTGTGTGAACACCCCAGATCGGAGCTCTGCGGTTAGGGACGCGATCATACGGTACGTACGTGGACGCTACGGATACATGAACGGGATGACGGAAACACACAAATCACCATTGTTCATTTTGGCTGATGTCGTCAAACGTTGAAACCCCAGAGTGATGGAAAAAAGTCCTTGGCCGATACGAGCGACATTTCATGAGAAGGGCACGTTTGCGCTTAGCAGCGTCACGTCCGTTGCAATTTCGTCGCCAGAAACGACGAGCCTTCTCCGCCGAGCACGGACGAAATCTTCCGGTCTGATGCAAGCACGACATCACAAAATACCACGTCTTCCCGCCTCCAATAACACCGTTTTCACAAAACAGGCAGAGATCGACGAACAGAGGATAGCCTGGGCCATACCTCCCGTGGGTTTGACAACCGGAAACCGGGCCACAACTCACGGAAGCATAGAGGACATGTAGGCTGGGCCAGAACCTGCCCGTGGTTTGACAGTAGAAAAACCGTTGCACAACCCACCCACCGAAGCGTTGAAGCAAGTACAACACTTACCGTTGTTGACGAGAACGTCGAGTCGATCGCCGTGCTTGGCCTTGAACTCCCGAGCGAATGTGCGCACAGATTCCAGCTCGCTCAGATCGCACTTCATGACCTTTTGGTAGTGACGCCCCCGGAGACACGCGCACGAATACACGCACCAGCGGGTTTGGGGTATGGCTTCGAAACACACTCTCTCGGAAACAATCATCAAGATTTGGAGGCACTCCCCCTGGTTGCAAGTCAGATTATACCTTACGTGCGAGGTGACGAACGCCTATACCCAACACCAAACCTCCTCCACAACTTGTGACAGGGGGAATCATCCACGACAGACGTTGGGTAAATTGTTGTGCCGTTAATATCTCCGCATAGCCCGTCCTATGGTAGTAAGCTAAGATCATCGTAGCGACCTCTTTTCAGGGAGCGAGCATTCAACGGTTTGAAATACTCTTGCCCAAGCAGCGGGATGGATGCATCACAAGTGCATCGCAATAACACCCTTCAGTACCGAGGACAAGCACAAAGAATGCCTCCAAAGTATGCCACGCAAGTAGCGTACGAACCTGTTCCATCTTGGTCTGTGGTAATCTGGCCGTGTATACTCAACCGGTGATGCACACGTCAAATCAATCACCTCGAGCGTGCCTTGCCGCGTCCCGAACGCGCCGCCTCCGCCTTCCACCTTCGACAACGTTTCCCTGATCACCACACAAGAGGGGAATCATACGGACGGATCATGTAGCACGTCGTCTTGCAGAGCTGTCTTGTTTGCGTTCGTTCGACGACATGCCCCATTGCCTGGCTTTGTCGAGTCACTGAAAAACACGGCCATCTAGTCAGGAGGGCGAGCGGGAGGCAATATGTTTACGTCGCCAGGAACCCGTCCTGGATGGCCGTGTTTTTCAACGACTTGATAGAAGCTCCAGACAATTAGCACGCCGTCGAACACAAACGAGACAGCTGCATGGCCATCGACTCGATAGAAGCCAGTCAACGAGCATGCCGTCCGCCACACACGAGACAGCTGAACATGGCCATGGAACGCGACACGGCCCACGAGACGGGCGAATGCCAAGCAAGGTGCCGTGCTTCGTGTCGTGGGAATCAATCTGGAAGGGCAGCAAGCTTCGACGTTCGGCCGAGGCAGTCAAACGGCCGCAACTTTTTTTTTTTACCAAGAATGTCTTTGTGTTGAACCGAGTCATCTCACCGACGCCATGCAAGACAAAATTCCTCAGAAATGGCCAAAACCGGTGAGGGGACATGCATAGTGCGAATACACCACGGTGCTGTAAACAATATTTAGCGTCTCAGAAGTGTCGGAATGGGAGCGGGGCACACCATACCCCCCACGATGTCGGTGTACACGTGGATGTTTCAATCGTCTCGGCGCACGATGTAATCAGGAACAGTCCGGCTCGCAGATAACCGGGAAAGTCGGGTGCCCTCCAAAGCGGGGGTCGTAAAGCGCGGGTGCCCGGTATGATGTGGTGATATTGGCTGACACAGATGGAACAATCAAGATGGCTAAAGGATCGTGTAGTGAGCGTGCCCGCTGTAGTGCGGGTGAAAGCGCTTGGCACATACATGCCCGATAGGAGGCACGCAATCGCCACATAATACTTCACCCACGTGGGCGGATGGTGGCAATCCAACAGAAAAACGTGAGCAAAGCGAAAGAGCAAGATGGTGATCAAAAACACGAAACGTGAGCAGAGCACAAGAGCACGAGAATCAAAATTTTGAGAGCATAGCAATAAGACCACGGACCTCATCTCCTCCTCCAGCTGTTGGCGAGCGCTTTCGCCACGCTCAAGCGACCGGCAAGCCATGATCACCTTGGCCCCGGCTTTGGCGAGGTTAAACGCAGTCCTGTTGCCAATCCCTGGGGAATTATTCGCCATACCGCAGTCGTTCGTGGTGTGTCAGATGCAAGCACGGAAACGATGATGCAGGGTGTCCAGACAGCAGTATGCACGTCTTATTTTCGGATGAAAAAAGGGGGCACCACGCGCATACCGCTACTACACGAAACCACAGATCTAGTCCCCGATCATGTTGTCCGTGGGAGCCCGGACCGAACCCGGGTCTTTCGCCACCATACTCAGACATCTCATCTTCACGACATCGATGTGAAAAGAGGTAATCATCCTTGACAGACGTTGGGGGGATGTGACCCCTTGAATAGCTTCAAGTCCACAGCATTTTCTTGTTTCATTGCACGCCAAACTGTCCAGACGGCAGCAACGACTCAACCGCGGAAGTTAACGCCTCACCCACAATCATGCAAGAAAGCTCGAACCTACAGAGTCAGTGCAGGGGTTCTCACATTTTCTAGTTTTTAACAATGCCGCCTAAGCCATGCCGCCTAAGCCATGCCGCCTAAGCCAATCAAGTTTCGGAAAATTCTTGCACGTCACGTTCGGAATCCTGCAAGTTAAATGGGCAGAAATGTTGGCTCGTTTCCTTAACGTCGGGCTCTACGGAGCCAGACGGACATGTGATTAGCATCTCGATGTGCGCTGCTTGCTGGCGTTGTCAAACAGCACTGGACTCCTATAGCTGATTGCCTTATCACCCCCTAGAGACGTGAAAGATGCCTCTGTCAGAGCTGCAAGAGAGACCATTCGGCGACATTGTCTACGGCAGGAAATTGCGCGGCGAGCGGTCCCCCCCAAGCTGGACGGCTAAAACACCGACAAGCGATACATATCTCGCGCATGACCATCGCAGTAGGGGACACTCTCTAGATGCATACGTACCAATATCTTGCCTATTATTCTGGAGGCGATCAAATGCATTCCACATCGACAATAACTCACCTGTGTTTGCCCCTGTCACGATCATCACTTTCCCTGGAGAACAGCATGACACACAGATAGGGTAAGGGGATGGCGATACAGCGGTAAGCTTCTTTAGTTTGTGGGCGAGCTCGGTATCCTGGTGTCTCTTAAGTTGTTGTATCCCCTTGTGCGCCAGCTCGGGTGCAAAGGGTAATGTACCAAGGCTAGGCTGATGTTGCTCGGAAGTCGACATATCCGTCAGCATAACTTGGGGTTAACTTGGGGTTGACCTCTGGGGGGGGGGGGG